AAGCAAATAATTCCTTCTTCATTTAGCCGTGATTCTACTACCTAACAGTGATATATTAAACAAAGGCACTGAAGTGCCACAAAAAACAGCTTCAAATAACAATGAAGCAGAGGGGTAGGTGTGCAACCATTCCTTGTACAATAGAGGGGGAAAGGAGGGAGAGATTGCTGCTGAAATTCATGATGTGCACTTGCAGAGGTTTATCATACGGCATAAGGAGAAAGGCTGTGTACATAAATAGTGTGTAAAACAATACTTGTCCTGGAGCACATGCTCTGACCCAGCCAGCACTGGAGGGTGCTGCTGCTCCCACCCACAGCACAGTCACTCAGATCTGAGCTCACACTGCACCAACTGCCTGCAGCACCTGACATCTGAAGGGCTCTCTGGGGACAGCCTTTCATTTGGATTGAAAAACCTTCTGTCTGCAATGCCAAAGGTGTCAGGACTCAGCACACAGCACAGCAGCTGCGGGACGTTCCCTTTGTGATCTGGACAGCTCTCCCAAGCAGAGGAGGCACCTCACTCACAGGTAGTTATGGGACACACAGAAGGTATTTCACAACCACTTCATTGCAAATGGTCCCAAAAGTGTAATAGGGACCCTTCTGACAGAACAGAAAACTGGGGCTGAAAGTTTTGTCTCATAGCTTAATCTTTTGCAATATTAAAAATGGCTCTTGACAAAAAAGTGAATATATCTTCCCAATCCATGGAGAGAAGTAAGTTTGTAAAACCAAGGTAATCAGCTTCCATACGGAACCCTTCTCTGTCTGTACTTCTGCACAATGTCTCATCTTCAGTGACCAAAACCACAGGACTTATTTTCCCATTTGAGGAAAGTGAACTGGGAGAAGAGGGCCCAGTGCTGTTCTCTGCTGCTGTGATTTGCCTTCACAGTGCATGAGGTAATTAGCAGCCTAATTAATATTTACATGGTTGTACAGCAAAGAACTTTAGCTCTCACCCTTCAAGCATCCTGGAAGAAGGACACATTATCTGCCATTCCCAGCCTGTCAGAGTTCTGCATCATTCTGAAGGGTAAGTCAGGCAAATTTATGTCTTAAATGGTCACTTCTGACAAGTGTGTATTTGGTTTACTCTGTGGGATTTAAAATTGTAAAAAATTCAAAGAACTCATCCTCCCCCTGAAAAAAAAAAAAATCCAAAACTGAAAAAACACCAAGAAAAACATTGCAAGTCCTGGAAAACACCCTAAAATGTGAAAAATACTGCAAAGAGATAGCATTTTGCAGTTTACAGTCACARGAGTATCTCTAGAAATTGTTTACACTGATGGCACACGAACAACAGAAGTTAAACATGCTTAAGTATGCTAAGGCTAAATGATTATCTCTGTTTTTCACATCCAGATGGCTGCTTGCTAGAGCCTAAGGAAATGAGAAAGGGGACAATGAAAGTGCTGAACTCATAAAACCAGAAAGTCTCTGAAGGAACACTTTTGAGAAAACCAAGTCACTGTGATTTGCCACTTCCTTCCTCAGGCAGCTCACACAGGCCCTGTGAGCCTAAAAAACCATGACAGGAGCTGTTCAAGCCCATGGACAGGTGTCCCCTAATCCTTCCACTCACTGCAAAATCCCAAGAAAAACAAGTTAAGGAACGCAGGAGAAAAGGAAGGAATATAAGTGTGGGTCCCTGCTGGGTGTTACAAACCATCCCTTCTTTTCTGTTCCTAGTAATCTGGTTTAAAAACTATTTTCATATCCAAGGTTTTTTTYTAACCCTGAAATGTTAAAGCTGAAGTTTCCTGAGAAAATGAGTCCAAGCAGAAAAGAAGCTGGATGACCAGCAGAGGAGGATGATGCTATGTGACTTGAACAATCTTTCTGTTTCTACTATCTGTAAAAATATTTCAGATCAGGTAATGATCATTAACAAAATGATCATTTCATTTGGAMACTCCAGAAATTTCCTCTTGAAATGTAGAGGCAACAAATGCAAAACTTCCTAGGGTGATTTTCAGAATGGTTTTTATTTCTTCACTCTAAAAAAATCTAAGTTTGATCTTCTGGTCCAACAATTGTGTGTAGGATCCAAGTTAGAAATGGCTACAGCTCTCAAGCTGAGACTATTCAGCAGCTCTTAAGACTTTTTCTTACATGAGGTCTTGATTCTGACACAGGCTGATCAAAAGAACAATTAAGAYTCCTGGTGCAAGTATTTCTAATTTGTCCTGAGCTGACACAGAAGAATTCTTAGCAAAGCCATGGTTTCCTGCTCTCTGAAGAGCAGGCCAGAAGCACAGTCTCAAACCAGTGGGAATCWGACTCTTTATGGTGTATTTAACTGGCAGCCCAAACTTCTTTTTCTTACAAATACAATGATTTCAACATGACAAAACCCAATCCAAAGAATCAAAAAAATAAATAAAAAAGGTACAATGCAAATCCCATAAAACATAAAAATGTTTATCAGACCTCAAGTGCCCTCTCTACCAATTGAATGCATGATCCTCATTTCTGAGCAACAATTTCATATTGTTTCAGGCTGCATCTGTGTGTCAGATTGTTTTTAAAGCTTGAGTTTGTTTTTGCTAAAGAGCTCGTGTGCCAATTAGCACAGAGYCTAAATAATGCTCAGCTTTCCAGCAACATTATGAAACACAAGGAGTGTTGAGGAATCGGGAGCTGCAGCTGTGCCAGCCCCACAGCCCCAGTAACCTTAAACCCAGGTTCACCCAGAGCCACCCCAATCACTGGGGGGATCTCTGCTGAGCCACAGTTAATAAAAAGGCTCTATTTTGAGTTCAGAGCTGTTTACTGCTGCTGCTATTTAATGCCCTGGTGTCTGGGAAAGGGGAAAGAGCGAAGAGAAATGCATCTTCAGGCATCACCAGGACAGTTTATGTCCCACGTGGGCAGCACTGTGACAAGCCCAGCCTAGAAAGCAGGTGATGAAAGGAGCAGAATGTGCCAGCAAGCCCTGTTTGTGCTGCTGGGGGGCACTGCTGGCAGGGCAGGCTGCCACCAGAGCCTCCTTCCCCTAAGGGTATCAATACTGGGACAGAATACATAAACACACAATATTTATATATTGTCATATCTTATATTATCTTTCTATATCTGTCGGATTACACACATGAATTTAACCTTTTTATTTTCCATTTTGCCCATTTGTCAACTACAAATATACATGTAGGTTTGGTGGGGGGATTGGGTTTTTTTTCTGCTGTCATCTTTGGGGGTGAGTTAGTCAGGTTTCCTTTTTCCTTTATTTTTTGCTTTGAAATTCAAAATATGAAGGATCTTGTTAGTCTTTTTCCAGCTTCCTATCTCTTTCAAACTTGAAACTCTTCCATGAGTCTCCAGCTCCAGGAATGTTACAGACTGACAAAGGAAAGTAACAACAGCTTTTCCCTTCAGGCCTTTCTAAAACATAAGTGGTTTGGCATTCTTTTATTAACAAAGTAAGATAAAAATTAAATGTAATTTTTTCTTTTTTTTTTTTCCCCAGAAAACTGATACAGAAAATGGTTCTTTTTTGTTTATTTGGCTTTTCTCGTTTTTCTTTTGGCCAGAAAGCTGTTTATTCTAAAAACTAACTAAGCATCCAGCAACATGTCTCAAGCAAAAGAGATTCTGATATGGAAATATTGATTAGAAATGCTGATATTCTGTTTCCTCTCCATTATTTTTACAGTAAAAACTTCAACCAGTATTGCAATCACTACACATCAATATTAAGAATACTGCATTGTTGCCAAAACCTTCAAACAAATGTTCTGCAATTAATTTGAAATGACAATACATATTGAAATACTAAAGTTATCTTTGGATGTGTTAGACATGCATTTATTTCCAAATATCTTGAATGCAATTAAGCTGAAGTTATTTGCACATGAGAAAATTAAACAGAGCTATGTGGGAGTCAGAACCCCCATTAATGGGATAGACAGTGTCACATCTTTGCTCCGTTTTGGAATTATTCAGGAAGTTCCTACAAAACAATCTGCAAAATTTTTTTTGAAGCAAGAAAACAGAATGCTAGAACTTTAYCTTTGAGAACTGCTACAAACCACAAAATCCACTTCAAAAAGAACCATCATGAAAGCCAACACAATCCCATGAAACATCTCTGTTTTGACAAAAAGAAATTTTTGGAGAACACTCACTGGCACACTTCCAACCAGCTCTCAGYGCAAAAGCTGATGCATACTTTGACAGTGATAGCAAAGATGCACTTGTGTTCTAAACATCTCTTTTTCTCCTCAGGGCAATGTTGCCTCATGTTATACAGAGCAAAAGGAATGACAGCAACAAGTTTAGCTCATGGAAATGCAAATGTATATTCCAGTTTGAGTCTAAGAGGCAACAGGAAAGACACTTACAAAATACAGAGGGGAGAAGAATCAGCTGAGAAACTAGAAAATCTTTTCACCTTCAGAGCTTCTAGGTGCTCTACCAGCCTGGAACAATAAATTGTTATAAGAATGCCTGCAGAACTTGCTCTGATAAAGGTGCTGAACAATTCTAAGAACAGTTGTTACTCACAATGCTACAGCAGAAATTCTGAAAAGGAATGGCAGGGAAATTCTTCAGAAACTTCATGGTCTGGTCACTGTGTTTTTTTGACACCTTTACAGGAAAAGCTTYGTATCTTCTCATCATGGCCCAACAATGCTCAGCTCTGCACCACTGAGCCCATCAAGGGGACACTGTGAAGGGTCTCAGTCACCCTCCGAGGTGCTGCTCCCTACACAAGGCAGGATCCTACAGACAGAGCTGCCTCACCTGGAAAGGACAGCCCCTACAAAGCAGCCCTTCAACAGTCACCCACATCTAACACAGACACCTAAAACTCAGCAATTTCAAGCTTTCATTTTGGCAAAACCCTCTCTCAATTAAACAAGTTTAAGTCATGAAGTTCACTATGAACAAAAGTTTACAATGACAACAGTGTCTTCGAATGCTCAACCATCAGAAGGATGTGAAGACACTTTTTTCACCATTACAGCAAACTTTTACTTAGAGCTTTACCTTTCCACGACGTCCTCTCCATTCCAGCAGGTYGAGCTGTCTCTCATCACCAGGTCTCCATCACAAAGCCTTTCTGCTATAGAGGCATAAAAGGTTCGGGACCTCTTCATGTAATTGATGAACTCTCTGTAACRCAGGAAGAGCACATTTAACAACACAACACTAAACTTAGCAGTTCMGCCCCCTGCCAGCCTAGCCCTGCATCAGATCAAGACTTTAGAAAATAAGTAATCTGAATTAATTTCTATTTCTAGTGTATTTCTACTCCTTATACATCATCCAATTTTACTTAGTCCAGKGTTAATACACATAATTATAGACACAAAGGATGGCTTTAACATTATGGCTTTAACGTATCTCTCACCAAATATGAAAAAAGGCTATACCTACTCTTTATACATAAATTAAAAAACTTTGAAGAACTTTATCATCATAAAAGGCATGGCCAATACAGTACATTACTGATCACTGTGTATGGAAAAACGTCCTGAGGGCAAACTGCTGCCTCTTTTATAATCTGATTATATCCATAATGTATATCTGGCTGAGGTAGCCATAAAAATAAACTAACTAAACAAGTGTTAATTCAGCACAAAACTGAGAGTATTTCAGAATGAGAAATTACCCTATTCCACTGGTTTAGAAGCTCCTGTTTGGTATGYTAAAGATCTGGAGGACAAGATTCAGGATAAAGCTGAGTTGTAGCTATCACTGAGCTCTGTGCTGGCCTCAGAACTCMCTCASCAGYCC